TCGAGTGAATGCACTTGACCTCAACAGCAATGCACTGATTTGTTTTATCGTAATTTAGTTAACTACGTAGTTGATGCTTTTTATTGTTCCTTTCCTTCTCTTCACCCCTTCGACATTTATGGACCATTGTGTGCACCCGTGCATGCACGCGATCGGGTATAAATACATGCCAGCTCCTAATCGTAGATCCAGTATATATTTGAAGGTGAGAAGAATGCACGGACTCTTGTCGTTCGCGGTTCTATCAGTTCTGAGTTGCTTTGTTATGCCTGGCTATGGAGTGGCTATTTACCCAAATAGTATGGGTGGGTTCCGAGGTGGAATGGGATACAGCGGTCATCCCTATGGTCCACAAGCCTTCAGAGGAGGAATGGGACCTGGTGTTATGCCCTACGGTGGTTATATGCCTTTGGCCCCACGAGGAATGCCTATGCAGGGCGGATTAGAGAAATCTCCATTCAGCGGTCCTATTGGCCCCGTACCCTTTGCTGGTACAGGTTTCCATGGTTTGGGTGCTGGTCATCCCTTTGATCGATGCAATGGCGGTAACTGTGGCTATTGGGGTGGCTGCCATGGCGGACACTGTGGAGAATTTTACGACTTTCGACCATGCCACACACCGGAATGCTTTGATGGTCCAATCCACGGATTTGATTGCATGGACGGATCTTGTGGACGTGTTTGCAATGGCCATACTTGCCAAGATTTTGGTAAACAGTCATGTTCTGATAAGAGCTCCTCCGAAACCGAGGATAAGGAATCTGCCAAAAAGGAGGCTTAGAGCGGAAGTTTTGGAGGTTATTTTCATTTGCCTCTCTCTCTTCTTTTTTCTTGCTACTAAATAAAGGTTTCATTCATTCTATCTGGTTTTGTTTTAATTAAATTCATACAAGTAATTGGGCGGAAAATAATCCCATTCCCTGCTCTTAATTGTCGAAATTCACATTTTGGCGCGAACTCTCTACTAATTAACGTCTATCCTAACCAGAAGCATTGATTTTAAAGGACAGCTATACTTCCTTCTCTTTAATATTTTATCACAGCTTTGCAGAGAAGATTTTTCTTTATACTGTAAATCATTTTGTAGTCACTTTACCTAGTCATTAGAACTATTTGCAAAGAAAGTGTACCATAGTAACTACGCTGTTAACCGCAGCCCACGAAAGTGCAAAGGGATTTTAGAGAAGAAGGCGTCGAGGTGTCCCATACATAAATTAAAACGTTAAGGAACAGAAGTTCTAGAAAGAGAATTGAGGACCTGTTGTTAATAGTCAAAGGAAGATTTGTCATAACCTCAACCCGTTATTGTCTCTTGATCGTACAGATCCCTCTGAGAACAATAGATGCACGACGACCATTGGAGGTTCTTCTGTTTTGGCATTTTGATCACCTCCTTTACATTGAGAACTTCAACAAAGTTGATGAAATAACGCACAAACAAATGCATCAAATGAGGTGAGTGAGGAGGCACCCGAGACAATGTTTTACTTTGTTCAAATTTTACACATTTCGATGGGGGTATTCAGGCCTAAAATTTAGATTTTATGCACTTTAGCATGTTAAATGGTGAAATCGCAATTTCTCTCTTTTCTACTTAGGAAAGAAATCAAAATCCTTCGTCAGGAGAACGATTGTCTTCAGAGCAAAGTGAAAAATGCATGCGAAATATATGGAAAGTGATGCTACGCATGTGATCTTGTGTTTTCTTTTCTGCAATACCCTCAGCCTCCTGCCTGATTGCATTTACCAAGTAAAATGCTTCACTGGTATCAGCGTAGATGATTCTATGGGTTGGAGCTTCAGCTCTATGAGGACCGAAACGGTGTTAAAAATAGAGGAGAATATGCTGGCTCGCATTTATTATGGCAACAAAGTTATCCCATTTTCTATACGGACAAAATATGAATAGATTCATTGTCATGTTTTTAACCTCCTCCAATTTGACTAACACCTTTAGCTTGCATTGAAAATAGCGTCAAAATTTGTCTATTCATCAAGTCTTCCTACTACGTGGCAACACAAAGTTTATTATCACATACAAAGGCATTTGTCCTGTGTAATTATTTTCTCACATGTTGAAATGGTTTTTAAATGATTTTAACGCAACAGTACAATTATGTGCTTGAATTCTAAACAACAGAACTGTTTATCTAAGCCGCTGATTGTTTAATGTCATCAGAGTTCATTTTTGACTAAGCAAAAACGCATGTTTAACGTATCGTTTTGTATGTATTTTAATTGTTCTCCATTTTGTTACGCAATCATACCGTCTGGTATCCACAAGGCTTTAAACGCCGTAACAACGGGATTACCGCTTATTGCTTGTGCGTTCCTATAACTTTGAATGTAAACATTCATTTCATCTAGGCAGCGGTAAAATTGCTTACAAGTGGTAAATGCAGTGAGATGAAAAGGCTGAATTAGACAAAAGGCGTAGTGTTTTATGCCATGAGATTATATATGAATCCTAATTTTTCATTTCCTTTTTTCGGTTATAACATATTGTCTAATTTTATATTATTTTATTGACTTGCGGACGGTGCCCAAGTGGGTTTTAGTTTAGCGATGTTATTACATCGAGACTGCACATCAATCATTCATGCCTTTACTGCGTATCTAAAAACATCTAAAACAAAGAAGAAGCCATCTCACGCCATAACGACCCTAGGTTTGGAGCCTCAGGAAGTTTTCTGTGTACAGTATTAGACATTAGAGAGCATGGAGAAGGAAATAATGACTTTTTAACTATGATGGCGTTCTACCTTAGTCAATCTTACTAGATTCCTAGCTATGTAGCATAACCCTCTCCGTGCCATTATTAATACTAATCTTCCCTAGGTTTTGCAAAAGGCTTGCGCATCCTTGCATGAAGTCTCTGTAGCCTCTACATCACTATTGTTCAACTCTCCTCTGGCTGCTTCTTCAGAGGATCTCTTACTTGCGAGAGCTCTATTAACCATCTGAGCACACAATATAAAAAGTGAAATGCAAGTTGAATGGAAGAGGTGGTGCTCATAAAGCCCCAAGAGTCGAGTATGTTAACTCCTAATGCCCCGAGATTGAATTAACTCTCCGCACAATTTAAACAAATAGTACTTATTACACTACCATATTAACAATACATTTTACTTTTGCAAGCGACCCGAAATGTTCAAAGGGCTACCAACTACAGCGCTTAGGCTCTACGAGCAGAGCATTTGATGTTCAGGAATCTGTTTTGCGTTAGAATAACAATGTTGCTTTGGAGATTGCTGAAAAAATTGCCAGAGCAGTGTTGACATCGGTGCGGATGGAAAATAAAAGCAAATATGGATTTCATTCAAAAGTCCTGACTATCTTTCTTGAGAACTATAAAAGTATGTAATAACGCCTTAATCATGAAGTATCAATAATAAGGCAGTTTTTTTTAAATATGTAAGTTATATCAGGTTATTCAAGGCTTCAGGTCATCGTGCTAAAGTAAAGTAATACTGCCATACATAACAATATTTGGATTGCGCACTGGGGGGGGGG